AAATTTGTTTGTGCCAGTTTCGGATCCAATAGAAGAATGTATTGTACATACTTGAGAAAATGGCGCTGGACATGTAGAGAACGTGCCATCCATGACCAAACATTTTGCATTAGGTAATTAGTCGTTTGAAATTATTTTTTGTAGAAAATACGACTAGACTCTCGTTTTGAGATATATACTGTTCGATTCAAAATTGCTCATCTCAAATGAGATAGATATTTCGGTATGTCGAAATTAAATGTAAGGGGTACTTTCGGTTGTTGTTTTTATTTCTATAGATATAACTATGAATATCTCTGGTTTCTGTGAATAAAGGTTTCCGGAAAAAGCTGTTTCTATAGACGATGTTTATGTCAAAAATGCTATCTATGAACAGAATTATTTATCAACAGTGCTTTCTATGGAACGAGATCTCTACGAATAGTGTTTTCTACTAACAAAGTTTTCGGCAAAAAGAGCTATCTAGGAATAGAGATTTCTATAGCTAGTGCTTTCTATGGATCGAGATATCTACGAACAATATTTTCTACCAATGAAGTTTTCGGCGAAACGTGCTTTCTGAGAATAGAAATTTCTATGAGCCATGCTTTCTGCATCCAGTAGTGTCGTCCAAACGTGATTCTATATTACGTTCCACACTCGAAATTTTCGGTCATGGCCTCTTAAAAAAAGGAAATTTTCAATGTAAGAGCCAAATGTTTTTCTTTTGTAGTTTTATTGTGATGTAATGACCATAATTTATATTAACTCAGGGCGTAAAATATTCGTCAATTGTAAATGGTTTATACACCCTAACGTGTTAAATGCATTACCTAAACATAATTTAAATTATACGTCGTAAATCCAAACGCAGTTCGCAACGGTGGAGTATAAACCATGTTCAGTACTTTAACCAACACACAAGGCTCGCATTTGGCGCGCAGCGACGGCAGAAGAGCGAGCGGGATAGACAGATACCGGCGCGGGGTGGCGTATTTGTTTACTTGGATGTGAGTTCGCGCACTGAACGTTTCGTCTCACGTTTAGTTTTCAAATTTTGTTGTAATTACAACAAATAAGTACTGTAGTGACTAAATAATAGTGTAAATGGAGAGTGACACTAAAAAAGGAATCCTGGATGCTTTAGTTCGACGGAGGCAAGTGCTTAGTGCAATATACGAACGTCGACGGTTGAAACCTTTGAAAACGTGAGTACTACACACTTTATTTGACACTGTTATCTTATTTGGTGAAAATTATTGTAGACGAATCCGTGTTATCAATAGAAAAATAATGAATTAAGACATAGTATAAATTTAAAATGTGAACTTACTGCCTAATTGATAATTATGTACCTTTGTTATTGATACCTACTATTCATAATGGACTAAGATATACGACCTAGTATTATTGATTTAAAAAGGCCTTGATCGTTTGCAGTTTGTTTATACTTCCCTGCGTTCAAAATTATTTTCTTTCATTCCTTTAATTTAACATGTCGTCGGCCTAATTCGTTAACCTGCTAAATCCATTTTTGGCTGTTTTTTTTTAGTCCAGATAAAAGTTCAATCTAATATCTACCGTAATGTAAAGCAATAATAGTGATATTAGCTAAAAATTCTGAGAAATCCTATGCTCGAAAAACTGCTTTCTGACCACCCGTCAATCTCCACAACGCAAACCTGTTAAATCCTGTTGGGGCCTCAGTTTTGTACTAACATCGTTACCAGACTCACGTGCCGTTTGCGACGCGTAAAACTTATGGTGTTTTAGGCGAATATATAAGGATGTAAACAACGAATTATATACCTAATTATACACTAGGTAAGTTTATATTGTTTTATCTGTAAGTTTTTGTTTCGTTTAGTGTTAAAATCAAATGTTTTTAATCTTAATAACTCCTTAGCTAAATATTAGGGACTTAGCAGGTTTACATACTATATTAACTTATTTGGACATGGATATGGCAGAGTATCAATTTAGTATTTTTAATTAATTATTTGCTTTATTATTGATAATTATGAACATGTTACTCATTAAATCACTACATAGTATAAAATAAAGCCTGTCTTTCTGTCTGTACTTATATAATTAGGCTAAAAACTTAAAAACTACGAAACGGATATTGATTTGATTTTTTCCGATACTTACAGAATGCATCGGGGAAAAAAAATTGTGGCTTTGGTTTCTGAGGCTTGTGAAAGTGTGGCTGAAACAGCTGGAAATGTAGCTCCGAAGTCTGATTATAATTCAAATAAAGTAATACACGTTTTAGAAGACATTCAGTTACAATGTGCCGAATCAAGACAGTTTATACCAGAAAATTCAGATTTAGTTACCAACAAAACTTATTATGAGATAAATGATGACATCAATATAGGTTCACTGACTAGTCTTGATCTACCAAGTACTTTTATTACAGAAAATATAGACGATACTATTTGTCCTGACATGACATTTCCCAATACTACATTCTGTGACTTGTCTTCAGTCAAAATTTTGTCGGGTTATGATGCTCACAATACTTACATCACGGACCAGGATTTGATTATAGTACCATCACAAAGTGAAATAGAATTACAAGCAACACAGATTTTGATCCCAGATATTATAAGCAGTTCCGATACGCATACCATTCAAACATTAGGTAAAACAATATCTCATGAATCAAGTACCAGTACTATAGAAAGTATACCTCATGTTGAAAATACACATCATAACGTCGTACCTAATCCACCGATATCGGATTGTAGTGATACAGAGAACAAGCTTGTGCCTTATTCTGATACTGACTCAGATTCGCTTGCTAAAATTAAAAAGAGTAAGAAACGAAAGAAGCGTTTTAAAGTTGATAAAAAAGAATGGGTTGCTGAAAAGAATAAACAAAGAAGACAAGAAGGTAAAACATATTTTGGGAGAGAGAGAAAACAAGACTGTTGGAATTATAATAAACCCAAAGAAGCACGGTCCATGAAATCAAGATGTTCTTGTAAAATTGGGAAGTACAGTACTTTGAAATGTGAAACAATAGACGAAGATGTAAGAAGAAGCATTTTTAATAAATTTTGGAGTCTTAGTTGGGGCGAAAAAAAAACCCTTGTTAACGAATGGGTAACAACTATTCCGATTGTCCGGCCACGAAACCGAAACTCTGAAGGCACAACCAAAAGGGCTAACACCTTTATTTATCATTTAAAAGTAAATGATCAAAGTGTCAAAGTATGTCGAAAAATGTTTTTGAACACTTTGGATTTAGGAAGATGGACGGTTCAAAATTGGAAGAAGGAGTTTCCAATTCGACCTCCTAGTATGCTGAGACGTTCCACACAATCATCTGAAACTGCGTCGGAGCCGAAAGAATCCCTTATTCAGTTTTTGGAGTCTCTTCCTGTAATGGAATCTCATTATTGTCGAGCGACGTCACAGAAGTTGTATTTATTGCCAGAATGGAGTTCTAAAGAAAGCCTCTACCAATTTTACGTTAACGATTGGTGCAAAGAGCGAAATATGAAAGCTCTCTCCATCAGTTTGTTTTCGAATTTATTTGAAGATAAAAATTTGGCCCTATTTAAGCCGAAAAAAGATCAATGCGAAAAATGCGCCAGTTATAAAGTAGGAACAGTAACAGAAAAAGAATACAAAGAACATATTGAGCGAAGTAAACAAGCAAGAGAAGAAAAAGATGCGGATAAGAAGGGAGAAAATTACGTTTTCACAGTGGACTTACAGGCTGTACTAATGGCACCAAAATCGAATGTTAGTACGTTATACTATAAAACGAAGTTGCAAGTTCACAACCTTTGCTTTTTTAATATAAAAAATAAAGATGGCTACTGTTTCATATGGAACGAAGTAGAAGGTGGACTTAATGCTGAAGAATTTGCCTCCATTTGGGTTGACTTTTTAGAAAATAAAATAATACGTCCTGAAATTAATGCTGACGATGGGAATAAAACAATTATAATTTACAGTGATGGTTGCACTTATCAGAACAGAAACTGTATTTTATCTAACGCTCTTTTGAATATTGTCATGAGGCACAAGAATATTACTATCGAACAAAAATTTTTAGAAGTGGGTCATACCCAAATGGAGGCCGATTCTATGCATTCCACTATAGAACGTCACCTAAAGAACAAAGTCATAAATGTGCCCGCTGAATATATATCTATTGTTAAGCATGCTCGTAAATGCCCAGCACCCTATTGCGTGACATATTTGGACCACACTTACTTCAAAAAATTCGACAAAATTCAGTTTTATAAAAGTATTCGCCCAGGAAGATCGAAAGGGGACCTTAAGGTGACTGATATTCGTGCACTACGTTACGAAAGCAATGGATCTATATTTTATAAAACTTGCCTTAAGGATGAATGGCAAAGTTTACCACAAAGGCGATCTCTGCAATGTAATCCTTGCGAGATTACTGAACTATCTCAATTGCACCGGAGCCGACGTAAAATTACTGCAAGGAAATTTGAAGACTTACAGCAAATAAAAAAGACCCTTCCTTGCGACTACCATAAATATTATGACGATTTGCCTCATGAGTAGAATAAAAGTTTAAGTTTAAATACACTTTTCGTTATTATTACTGATTCTAAGACTGATTCTTAATTAATGTTAATTATAGATTTCAACAATAAATATTTTGATTACTGATTGAATTCTTTTCATTGCATAATTAATCTATACACCTTACTAGATAAAAAGTCAAAAACTGCTAACTCCTTAAGCAAATTGAAATTTCACCTCGAAAAACTGCTAAATAATTGTTTTTTTGATTTTTATAAAATGTGTATAAGTTTTGCAATTTATTATATTGTTAAAATATCAAGAAAAATTATAGGAACCAATTGGATCTTCAGAATTTTGATTGCTAAATTAATAGAGATTTTATTCAGTTTTTTCTTTGTCCTGTAAACTATGTCAAAATAGACTTAGCAGGTTAACAAATTAGGCCGACGATGTAACGTTTGCTAAATCCGCATTTACGACTCAACAATTTCTAGAAAATGGTTCATACACCCTTCAAGCTATGATATAGACTAGCAAGTACGACGTAACAAAAGTTATAAACTATCTTCGTCATCTTGCAAGAAATGGTTTTTACGACCTTCTTCGCTTAAAATATTTTCTTTTATTCCCTCAAACGATATGCTACTAATATTAGACGGCATTTACAACTAATTTTTTTTTAGGGATGTCTTAAAAACCCTTTAATCTCAGTAAAATTGTGGCCCGACCACAAAGTAAAACAACGTGTAATGTTATAAAAATAAAGTTCAATATTGTATGGCATAAAATTTCGGTTCCATGGTGACGATAACGATAAGAATTCTAAAATGTAGCCAGATAGATAGTGTTTTTATTTTATTTTACTTAAGCTTAATTTAAAATAATACAATAAACATTTTTAAGGGCTCGACATGATACATTTTATTGCTTGATTTGAACCTTTATAGTAAACTAGCTTTTGCCCGCGACTTCGTTCGCGTGGAATAGTGACTTCCCGTTCCCGCGGGATTTTCGGGATAAAAATTATTCCTATGTCCTTTCTCGAGTTCCAAACTATGTCTGTACCAATTTTCATCCAAATCGGTTTAGTAGTTAAGGCGTGAAGGAAAGACAAACAGACAGACAGAGTTACTTTCGCATTTATAATATTAGTTAGATAGTTAGAATAGTTAGGACGTAACTTTTATCTAAGCTATTATCCTAAACCTATTTATTTATTTCTTATTTTCAGTTTAAACCAACAAGAAGAGCCAGCAGTTAATATGCCACACAATATATCACAACATTCACAACAGAGTATTTTATCGGATTTTTTTTTTTTTTTAAGGGGGGAAAATCATCGAATGACCGCCCCCGCCTGGGTGAGGCGGGAGGGAGTGTCAGACTCTTACTGACTAAAAACCACCCCGTTCCTTCTCGTGCACGTCGAGCCGGAGCCCCGGTTACCCGTTAGGTTCTCCGCGACTCCGAATCGGCATCGGCCCTATTGGGCCCCATCTGTGGTGGTCTGATGGCTCTTTGAGGCGCGCGCGGAACGCGACGCGCCGTATTTTATCGGATAGTGACGTTATAGAAGACAGTGACTCTGAACGACCTGCAAAACGTACCAAGAAACCACAAACAATAATTATGGATTCAACTACCAGTAATAGTGAAGTTTCTTTTAGCACGTCTAAGAATACGTCTTCACTATCCCATCCTTATCATGACAATGATGCTATATCGATTAATAGTCCTGTAAAAGCTGACACGAATAAAAAAATTAACATAATTTCAAATATAATTGTTAAAAAGCCAAATACAAAAAGTAACAAAGAAAATGTGTTACCTTCATCTTCTGTAACTATTGTAAATAATTCCCCGGATAAGAATGTCACCTTATCCACGAGCAATGTGGATGAGATCAATACCCCAGTGGATGTCGATACTGACTTTAATGCCGTTATACCTTCGATGTACGTTGTCAGCGATACAGAATCAAATACACTAGCTCCAGTAAATGTATCTGACCTTAATGTTGCGACACCTTTGCCATACTATGTTGATACTACTGCAGACCCAGATTTGTCTACTCTAGCTTATATAGATACTCACCTGGATACTTCTCTGTACAATGTTGATGCTGCAAGTTCAGGCTTATCTCCTACAGTTGACATTAATACTGACATAAGTTCGATGAACAAAACTGAGGCCGTTTTACCCGCTCTTGATGAACAAAATATCCTTAACGTTGCAAGTACTTCAGGTTACAATGCCGCTGCAGACCTTGTTTCACCTTCTGCAGATAATAATATACAAACTAACTTTTATACTGATACTTCTTCGATAAAGAACACTAACGCTGCAAGTCCATGTTTGTCTGTTAAAAAAGCTAAAAAGCGTCCAGTACGTGGCATGCACAAAAATATTTTAGATTTCTTGTCTGATGACGATACTGGTGACTATTCTGCAGGTAGTTGAGACGACTGGGTTCAAGAAAGAAAATACAAGTGAATCAAGTGAAGACGACACTTCCAAGACTAAAAAAAAAAATTGAAGAAATTTAAAAAACAAGAAACAGATATAATTAAAAGAAAAAAAATAATAAGAGTTAACAAAAGAAAGTTAGGAAAAATTAAAAAGGATAAGGGAAAAGAATATGAAACTGAAAAAGGAAGGGTTGTACAGGAGAAGAAGATGCAAAGTAACCCTTGTAAACCTGACAAATGCAAAAGAGGTTGCTACGATATAACGGAGGAGAGACGAGCAACTTTATTCAATTTTTACTGGAGTTTGGACTCGCAACGTCGAAAGGACTGGTTGGTACGAAGTACACACATTGTACCTTGTGCAAGAAAAAGAACTGATTCAAGTTTAAGCAGAAGAAACCTTACTTATGAGTATTAGGTCAATAACGGTGATGACCACCAAAAAGTATGCCAAAAGTTTCTGATCAGCACCTTAGATATAACTCAGAAGTTTTTGTTGTATACTTTATATAACTCTGCGAATGAAATGGCTCAAAAAGACCGTCGCCAACGGAACACTTCAAATAAGTATTCCGACTTTGCAAAGACGCAAGTTAAACAGTTCATTGAAAAATTACCTGCCGTCCCATCTCACTATAATAGAAAGAGAACAAATAGAGTTTACCTTCCACAAGAATTAAAAAACGTATCTAATCTTTATAGACTGTATTTAAAAGAATGTCAAAGTTCAAATATTGAATTTGTAAGTGAATCTATATTCAGATATATATTTCAAAATGAGTATAATATATCATTCCATGTTCCTAAAAAGGATAAGTGCATACTGTGTGTCAAAGCAGAAAATAACAAAGAGCTTAGTGAAAGTGACCAAAAATCTCTTCAGGAACATTTAAACGAAAAACAGGCTAGTTATAAAAGATTTGAATAGCATCAAAGGTTGCCATCATTAAAAAGTGACACTATAGTATGCACTTTTGATTTACAAAAAGTCTTAAATACTCCATATGGTGATAGTGTAGTATTATATTACTCTAGAAAGTATGCATTATTCAATTTTACTTTATACGAAAGTATCACACAAGAAGTATTTTGCTATTTGTGGGGGGAGTGCGATGCAAAGCGTGGAGCAAATGAAATCGCTACATGCCTATATTCCTATTTAAAGTCTGTAGATGAAAGAGGCATTAAAAATATTTTATTTTATTGTGAATCTTGTCCCGGTCAGAATAAAAATAAGACTATCTTATCTGTTCTGAACTACTTTTTAATGAAATCAACGCATTTAGAAGTTATTCAGATAAATTATCTTTTACCAGGGCACACTTACATGCCTGTGGACTCAGTCCATGCAACTATTGAACGTGAAGTTAAAAAAATTACTGTCTGGAGTCCAACGCAATGGCCGTCATACATTGAGGCTGCAAGAAAAAATCCTAGGCCTTATAATGTTAATGTAATGGAGTATTCAGATTTTCTCAATTGGAATGAAATAACTGCTGAGACATTTACAACTGAAACTTGTAAAACCCTGAAAATTAGAAACATCCGAATTATTACGTTAAAGAAAAAGAATCAAAATGTAATGTACATTAAATATTCTATGAAAGAAGAGACGTCAACTGATAAAGTAATATTATTTAAAAAATCTGGCAATAAAGAAAAAGGTAAAGGTAGAGGTAAAGGAAGATCGAAAAGCCGTACGATATTACCCGAAGAAGGTGTAAGCAATGATTCACATGATGATAATGTCCCCAACTGCACTTTATAAAAACAAATTGCAAATATCAGATGTAAAATACAGAGATTTAAAACGTCTATGTGATAATGGCATTATACCAAAAAGGTACCACCATGATTATATTAACTTACCCCATGGCAATGTGGCTGACTCTCTTACGCTAACCGACGAAGAAGACGAGGAAGAGCTAATTTAATAATTCAATTATGATTGAAAAAGAATAATAACAGTTCGTATTTACGTAATTTCACAATATTAAATGATTACCTATATATTCTTTGTCACCTAAATTTATTATTTGTCAGTATTTCTCAAATGATAATTCGTTTTAAAATAATTTTATATTAATAATTAAAATAATATAAAGTAACAATTCATAAATAAACAATTTTAAACGAATTATGAATACAAATTTATAACTTAAATAAGTTACTTTTAAGTACATAAGTTAGCTACGTTTAGTGCTTGTTCGTTTTTTTTATTAAGTTGCATTTCAACAAATTACTTAGTAAGTAAGCCTTAGTACAAAGGCTTAATTCAATAGTTTATTGAATTATGTACATTTAAATTATGTACAAAAAATGATCCAGTCATAATTCTACAAACGATTAAATGCCTTATTACATCAATATCGAAGAAGTTTGAATAATTTTAGTTTTTTTTTTTGTGACTAAGTAATTTTTTGTTAATGTCACTTTTAAGTTGTTATAATTATTTTTCAATTTAACTCTTCAATTACCGTCATTATAGACACAATTAAAGAACAATAGGTTGCGGTCACCGGTGTCCTCGCGGTGTTTGACAGTTTAAAAATTTTATGTTGATTAGAA